AAATTAATATAATTAATATATTATATATGTGTGTGTACTGTGTAACATATTTATTTTATAATTTTACATATTATTGCTATATATTAAATTAACCATTGACATATATATTATAAATTAATATATTATATATGTGTGTGTACTGTGTAACATATTTATTTTATAATTTTACATATTATTGCTATATATTAAATTATTGCAGCAAACCATTGACGAATTTGCAACGCGGGTTGGACAACAGGCAGTAGTGCTAGTGGCTACACCGGGTAAACCAAATAGTAGTTACAAAGTATTTGGAGCAAAACCGTTAGAAGATGTAGTAAAAAATCTAAGGAACGTTATCATGGAAGAACTTGAGAACGCCCTTGCACAACAAGCACCGCCACCCTTGCAAGAGGACCCGACACTATATGAATTACCGCCGTTGATAATCGACGGTATACCAACTCCGGTAGAGAAAATGACGCAGGCACAACTCAGAGCCTTTATTCCGTTGATGTTAAAGTATTCCACTGGCAGAGGCAAACCCGGTTGGGGAAGAGACAGTACACGACCACCATGGTGGCCCAAGGAATTACCTTGGGCTAATGTCCGGATGGACGCGCGATCTGAGGACGAAAAGCAGAAGGTGCGTAAAAACCAATAAGAACAGTTTTGATTATCTCGATATGATACCACTGCTTTAATTCAATAATTGAAATATTGCTAGATTTATTTGATTATTTATTAAACAAAAATAAATGTCAATAATTATTTTTTAGAGAAAGAATTAAAATTTGATTCAAGAAATACATCTCTATTTCTTAATAATATTTTTATTTTATTCTTTATCTCTCTTATTCTATTTTATTCTTTATTTATTTCATATATATTTTTGATAAGGATTTAATGAAATGTAATCAATCATACAATTTATTCAATACAATGTATTGCTTCGATAATTTTAGATCTCGTGGACTCACGCACTACGGCAGATTGTAATAAATTGTTATAAATTCCACGGAAGGGAAGATCTTCTGCCGGCATTTAGTGAAGAAGATGATAAGTCTAATGTTCTGATACAACAAGCGACGCCTCATTCCTCGTCGCATCCGTCACATTCATCGAGTCAAGGGCAAAGTGGAGGACAGTCGCAACAGCAACAGACGGTGGGAGTTGTTCGCCTCAACAGCACGGATTCATCTAAGGGAAACTCTTCGCCAGCACAAATCATTGCCGCGTCTCCCACAACTCTTGCCACTGCCACTCAGGTGGGAGTGGATGGAGTAAATGAAGAAATAAAAATAGAATTTAAAATAGCATTGCATGAAACAATATCTTGATTACTGATTATTCAATTTCAATTTTGTGTACAACATTCTTATTTTGATATTTAAAAACACTAATATTTTTCTTACCTTGATCTCTAATCTCTCGAAATTTGGTTTTCATTCATGTTGTTTCTAAATAATCTATGTTTCAGAGAAAGAATGAATTCATATAATTTTGAACATGTATGCTTTATGAGAAAATGATACCGTTTTGATTTTCACTTTGTGTTTGGTTTCCCTTATTTGAGTTGCAATTGCTTTTTCTGTCATTCTATTTATTGAATGTCATAGTTAAAGGGGATATATGTTAAAATATTTTAATTTTCATATAATTATCTATTGTGGAATATTTAATAGAGAATGAGTTTATTTGTAATTCAAATTGTAATTAAACTGTAATTAGAATTAATGTGTACAACAATGTTCTTCAACGTAAAGTTGCATTCCAAAATCCTGCTTCAAAAAGCAGAGTTCTCAACTCATTGTCATTCTTAAAATACGAAATAATGTATCTATGTAGCAAAGTCTATTCATTTCAAAATTTGAGATAGTATTGAGATAGTATTTAGAAAAGTATTTTTCATATAATTTGTGTTTTTCTAATTAGAAAAATGGAATTAAGATCAATTCTTATGTTATTTTATTTTGAAGATGTTATTTTTTACATATCTGTTCTGCTCAATTTCGATACTTCACTTCTTCATCACTTTTACTTCTGCTAGATTGATAATCCGTGAAATTTTGGAATGCAACTCTGATATAACATCGAATTAAATAATTTAATCTATAATTGTTTAACAGATGACAGCCCAATATCCGACAACTGTACTGCAGACAATAACAAATCCTGATGGTACAGTTTCAATTATACAAGTGGATCCTAGTACACCGATCATTACTTTACCTGATGGTACAACAGCCCAAGTTCAAGGAGTCGCTACTGTAAGTATTCTCTAGGAACTCACAGATATCTATGTCAAACTTCATATAGCATGTCTTATAAATTCTACAACATTAGTTTCTAAGGAATTCTTGAAAATGTTTATAGGATGTTTTGGGACAAATGTAAAAAACTTTGATAAATTGTTTGGAAAATCACTTTGAGTAAAAAATGTCATAAAGATATAATAATCTGAATTGTTTAATCACATATAATTATATTCTCAACACCAACAATTTGAAGTTTGACTACTGTCATAGTTACAAGAAAGCTTAATATGATATGACCTTTAAGAAACCAAAACAAAATAATATCAGACATCAATCTCACTTGTTCTTATCACATGTTCTTCATATATATATGTATCTCACACAGACTTCTATATGTATATTATACCTAGACTGCTAACAGCAATGTGACAAATGAAGCCAGGGCAGCCATTTACAATTGGGCAGAATATATATATATGTAAGTGTAAAAATATAAATGTGTATTTCTCAACTTATATATATATATA